GACTGGAACCTGCTTCCGACCACACAGGTGACAGCCAGAGCAGGAAGGCGCTGACTCCCAGGTGTGAACAGCCAGTCTCCTGGGGCTCCCTCCACGACCCCACACCCTACCCGGAGGCCCGGTAGTCAGGAGGGGCATTTTCCTTCTTTCTCAGTTTTCCCAGATCTTAAGGAAATAATTCAGCCTCTGTATTTTGACTCAAAACAAAGAAACTTTTTAAAACATTTCAGTTGAAACTTGCATAATTCTTCCAGTGGAGAAATCCTCCCTGAACTTTCGCAATCCTTAGAAAGAGACACATTATTGCCACAGAGAGTCCAGCCGGCTGCGGACACCTCCTGCCAGACGGCCAGGGCCAGGGCCCAGGCCTCGCCACCTCCTCCCGGAGGCCCTGCCAGGGCACCGCAGCCCCAACCTGGGCTCCGGGCAGGGCTCGGGTCACCCTTAACCCAGACTTCCTCACGCGCAACGTCCTGTCTGCCCTTCCCCGCGTTTCAGACAGACGTTACACAAACCAGCTGCAGGGGAGGTTGAGAAACAAGACGCCAGGGAGTCAATGACCTTACTCTCCATAGCTCCACACCGACAGGGGGACTCGGGGCAGCGGTGAGGACCACTGCTGCCCTGGAAGGCAAGGGAGGGAGCCAGCTCAGGTCCCAGACGGAAGGACAGAAGGGCCAACTGACCATGGGCAGAGAATGACCTACGTGAGGCTCTGCTCCCTGTAGAAGCCTACGGTGGGTACCAGGCAGGAGGGGGGCGGGGCCAGAGGGCACTGGGGACCCCACGCCCTCCCTGGCTGCAAGGGGTGGGCAGGGAGCAGGAGCCAGAGCCCACTCTTGAGCCTCAGCTTCCCCACTTGAGAAGACTCCACCGGCCTTGCTCCTGGAGCCCTCCCCCGCAGGGCCAGACAGACCAGACCGAAGGCCTGTCCATGGGCTGAGAAGTCACCACAGTATCCTGGGAAAGCCTGGAACGGGACACACAGGTGCACCTCTTCAGAAGGAAGCCAGTGGACAAAGCATCAGATGACCCTCTGAAGCACTCACCAGACTGTGGGTGTCTGGTGAGCACAGCCCCAGACGCCACGCTAGCTGCTGTCTTGAAAGGGGGTCCCAGAAAAAGCAAGTCACCTCCAGCTCCTGATGCTGTCCCTTCCTGTGGTCATTCCAGCTTAAAAGAGCAAAACCCAACTTATTCACAGAGCGTCCCAAAGCCCAGCAACCCCTTCCTGGCCTCTGCACCCAAAAGCTGCTGCCGCTCCCCTGGCCAGCTGTCTGCCTCTGACCGGGGAACAGCCAGCCGGATGACACACAGCGTGGCCCTCCGCACAGTTTCCAAACCAAGCAACCATCAGTCGACAGCCCCCTAAAAGGCACCTCCACCCACACAGAAAACATCAATTCTACTTGAAAGATCCCCGAGAACTCGGGCGTCTGGAGGAGCGAGGAGCAGCCATCTAAAGCAACCCAAACCCCCCAGTCAAAGGACGTCCACGACCATGAACGGCAGTTAAAAGGAGCCCCCGTTTCTGGAACACACCGCGACCTACTGCCGCCGTTGGAGGCACCACCTCGTCGTCAGTCTGAAAGAGAAGCACTTGGTTGCCCAGCGAGACGTCCTGCGTGACAAGGAGCCGCGTCTCAGGCGGCGGGCCAAGTGGCAGCGCACATGGCCACATCGTCTCCCTTTCTGAGAGCAGTCCCTGACCACAAGAGGACCAAGTCCCGTGTAGTCCAGAGCTGGCAGACAACCCGAGAGACAGGGACAGAGCCCCCCAGGCAGAGAAGAGGGGTGGGCGCAGGGAGGGCTCAGAGGTGCCTCTTTGCCACGTGTCCCCGGCAGCAAAACCATCCGTCCATACCCCACCTGTGACACTCAACACACAAAAATCCAAGCTCAGCAAGGCATCAGCCTCCAGTTTACACACGAGGAGACGGAGACAGAGGCTGAACAACTCGTTCAAGGTCACAAAGCCAGAAAGGGACAGAGTGGCGAAGTGAGACCAACCCCACCTGCCCAGGACAGCAGCCACAGGGGTCCCCGAGAGGTGACTCGCCTGGCACCCAAGCTGTACCACAGGAAGGAAGCGGGGCCTGACGGCCACCAAACAAGCGGGACAGCTCCTCTGCCCCTGTGACATCAGGGCAGCACCAAGAACGACTGCCAGCCCTTCACGTTGCCACAGCACCGCTGACATGCCAGGGCCTCCGGCCCGGCTGCCTGCCCACAGGGTTTCCGGGGCTAAAAGCTGAAGCCCCACCTCCTGCTCGGTTCCACACTGGGGTGACCACAGGAACCACGACACCACCACGGCCAGGCCACCAGCAAAGCAGGGTGGGCAGAGGTAATCAGGGCGCCAGGGACCCTGGGGAGGTCACCAAGAAGCACTGACCCCATCCCACTCTGACAGGAGACTCGGCCCACGCCCTGCCACAGCACCCAGAAGGCGTTCCAGCTGCCCCGCTTAGCACAGCCCAGAGGCCTGCTGGGAGCAGCAGCCCCTGCAAACAGAGTTCTAGTACATTCTTTGTTCCTTCTGCCCTCGTCCTCAGCAGATCAAAAATATTAAAATAAGATACAAAGGAAATGAAGAAATCAAAACATATCCCGAAAATGAGCTGTCAAGAGGCAAGTGGGAGGAGCCCACCGGGACCAGCAGGGGCTGGGGGCTGCCTGGCCACTCCCTCTAGGACAAGGGGTCGGCCAGCCCTGGGTCCACACCCACCTTGACACTGACACTCCCGCCCACGTGGCGCCCTGTGCCTACACAGACAAGCACATGGAGGTCTGGGGGAGACTCAAAGGGACGATGAGGCCCGGAACTCCCAAACGCACAGTGACAGAGCCATGGGAGCAGCCCCTGCCCACCACACCACGCTGAGACCACGGGGCACGCAGGGCGAGTGCCCCATGAGAAGGACAAGGAGGTCCTCGGTCCCTGGTCAGGAAGGACTTGGGAGCTGGCGAATGCACACGGACCCAAGCGGAGGCCATCACTGCCAGGGCAGGGCTGAGCTGCCCCTCAGGCCTGGAGACCCCAATCGCTTGCACTGAGCACACCTCATCATGGCGGGGCAACTGTGTTTTAATCAGCTAGTGAGACTTCAGAGCAGCGCCAAGGAGGGCATCAAAAGAGAAAGGCAGCCCAGACCTTCCACTGAAGTGACCGGGACAAGGCTGTCAGGCCCGGGGCACTGTGGGGCCTCCTCCCGAGCAGCGCGTGGGCCAGGCCTTCCCTGAGCCCAAGGACCCTCGCATCCAAATCACACGACCTGCTGCAAGGGGGGAGAAGCCAGGTGACCTGGGTGCCACTCTGCAGCAGCTGTGACAAAGGGCCCTGGCGGCCACTCCACCTGCCCCCAGCAAAGCCCAGGAAGACAGGAAGACCATAAACACACACACACTCCCCCCAACCCAGAGTCCGACAAAAACAAATAGACACACCCTGCTCAGACGAGATTAAGTGTCGCTCAGGCCTGAGCCCCAAGCAACCCACACCCATCTGCCTGAGCCCACCACAATCCCCACACACGCAGGCCAGGGTGCAGGCACCCCAAAGAGAAGGGCCCCCAGCCTGCAGGGAACACCACCATGCCACCTCAGCCCACTGCCCCTCTGAAGCAAGGGCCCCCAGGCCTGCTGGGGTGTCTGCGGCCCCACCACCAGCATCCTCCCCCAACTCAGAAGTGGTGTGCAGACGCTGCCACCCTCGCGCTGGCCTCGCCAGGGGCAGAGACACCACTGAACACACATGCGCGCACACATGCACACGCTCAGCAGCCCCCTCCGAGCAGAGGCAACAGTCCCTCGCTTCCATCCACAGCCCCTCCTCCCCACGACTCTGACACTCCGCTGGAGGGGCGCCCAGAGAAAACCGGGCTGGAGCATCTATTCACAGATTCAGAAAAAAAAAGTTTGATGCAATAGCTGAATTAATTAGGCCTCCCAAGAATAGCTGAGCCAATGCAGCATTCTGTGTGTGCAATTTAATAAGCCTGGATATTTAAAAGAAAAGTTACAAATACTTGGGGAGGTGCACAACGGAAAGTTCCTGGGGACCCCAGTGAATGATTTCCACGTCCAGAGGCCTGGGAGCTGCCCAAGCCGGATCCCACAGATCCTCCCACTGGCAAACAACGGAGCCAGGGCCAGCGGCCCTCCACACCGCGCCCTTCTGCGTTTCAGAGAAGGACAGAAGGAAATGGGAGAGTCCAAAACAAATCGCAGGCATCAGAAACTCCACCGCTTGGGCCCGGGTGCCGCTGACCAGGCCGGAGCAGGGTGCCAAATGGCCCTCCCCGTACGGGGGTCTCTGGGATGTGCACAGGCCCAGAACCACCAAGTCTTGGCCCCTGCCACTACAGCCTGGACACCTGGATTCATTTTTGTGTCGGTCCCAAGACTTGAAACCACGAAAGGGAGAGCTGATGACAAGCCAGGCCCTGCCTGGCCCAAGCTGTGCTGCTGGGGGCAGGGGAAGGCATCCTTCTGTCTGCAAATCTGAGAGGCTTAGGGTGAGGGCAGCAACCTTCACCCCAACCCTGTCTGGATGCCTCGTGGGGGCCCCAAAGAAGACCTGGGCCTGAGGCTCCCAGGCTGGGTCCTGCTGGATCTGGAGTCCTGGAGCTCAGGGCAGGCCTCTCTCTCGGAGCAGGCGCACAAGGCCTGTGCCGCCCCTGAGCCTCCCCAGCCTATCTGGGTGACGGCTGTGGGCCTGGCTGGGGGGAGAAGGAGGGGTGCTACCCACCAAGCCTGGCCCCTCTGGGTCCCCCTCGGGATCACTCTGGGGGCCAGGCAAGAGGACCTTCCTCCCAACTATGTGGCCCTGGCAATGGAACACTGACAATGCGCTGCATTCACTTAGCTCAAAACCAAACCCTGAGACTTGGGGTTAGGCAGAAGCACAGATCCCAGGCTTCGGAGGCCAGAGCCCATGGCCTAGGAGGGCCCCCACCCGAGGTGCAGCCTCCCCAGTGCCCAGCCCTGGGGTCACTCACCCGGGGCACCCGCCGCTTGTACTTGTTGCCATAGTCGAACTTCTCTTTCACGTCGTCCAGGCAGCGACCGAGGCGAGCCTGCTCCTCCTTGCCCGTGTAGTCCTGGCTCAGCAGGATGTAGGCCCGCCAGTTGGCCGAGTCGAAGCCCCAGTGGCAAGTCCGGTTCTCCAGGGCCTTGTGCGAGTGCACCACGAACTTGTGCGGCGGGTACATGAGGCGGCAGTCGAGGCACTGGATGCAGGCGGCGCTCGGGCTGCTGTAGAGCTCAGGCACCAGCAGCCCCTTGCACTTGCCGAAGCACTCGTGGTACACGCGGACGCTGCGCTCGCTGAGCTCCAGGCCCAGCGCCAGGCTGGCGGCCAGCTCCTTCTTGCAGGGCGGCGGGTAGGCGCCACCGTAGAGCAGCGCGTTGCACAGGCGCTCAGCGTCCGTCTTGGTGATGAGCCCGCACGAGGGCGCCGAGAAGGGCAGGATGCCCATGACTTTGAGGATCTCCAGCTGGTCCGCCGTGCAGCGCGAGCAGTAGATGTGAAGCTCGTCACACACCGAGTTGATCTGCTGCAGCGAGAAGTCGCGCAGCACCGAGTTGAGGATCTGCGGCAAGCACAGGCGCTTCTCGCCGCCCACCACGAAGCACGAGATGGTCTCGCCCTCCAGCACGGTCTCGCAGCGCTCGGTGGAGCGGTCAGACGGCATGAAGAAGGGCCCAGGCAGCACGGGCGGCGGCGGCTGGATGGCAGGCAGGTGCAGCACGGGCGGCGGCTCGGCGGCTGCGGGCACCGGCGCCGGCACCGCGGCCGCGCCCGCCTCCTTGGCGCTCTCCTTCTTGTAGGCCTCCTGCGCCCAGCGCGCCGAGAAGGCGGCCGGGCCGCCCAGCGAGCTCATGGAGCTCAGGTGGAACTGCTCCAGCGTCTTCTGCAGCCCCGGGTGCGGCTGGAAGCCGCCCCGGCCGCCCGCCGCCGCCTCCATGGTGCGTTCCGGCTCCCCGGGCC